CTGGCCATCTAGGGGCGGGCCCCGCCTCGCGCGGGCTGGACGGCGAGGGCCGGACCCCGCCACCTCCGCCGCTCGCACCGCAGAAACCGGAAGCTGCTTCCACCAGAGCTGTGGTGGGACTTGCCCTGGCAGGAGACGCGCTGTGGGGACGGGCGGCATCGCACTTGCCTCGTACTGCCTCCCAGTGGATGCCGGCAGCACCTGGGGCAGGCCGAGCTGGGGGCGGAGAATGAACTCAGGCGGGTCCTGGATGCCACCACCCAGGTGGAAAGGAAGGAGACCAGGGCCCTGAGAGAGAGTGGACCGGAGAGGGAGAGCAGAGCGGAAGGTGGAGGGTGGTTGTTTTACTGGGGACAAAAACAACTGTGATGCCAGCATTCTCAGGCACTCTCTGTGTTCAGAGAATGGTCCCCGTGTGGGCTCTCTGTGAATGTGCACACACGGACACATAAGCACTGCGAGCTATGTGCACGCGCACCTGTACACCCTGTGTGAACACTGTGCATGTACGCGCATGTGTACACCCTGCGTGAGGCCCCCTTGTGCACACAGACACACGTAACCCTTCCGGGTGAGCTGTGTGCACATGCACATAGACACATGTATGCCCCGTGAGAGCTGTGTGCTCACATCCTTGTGAGCTTTGTGTGAGTGCGTTGTGCACACACGCACATGTGCATCCTGCTTGGGCTGCGTGTGCACACCTGTACACAGAAACATCCTTGTGCACTATGTGTGCATGTGTACATCCTGCGTGACCTCCGTGTGTGCACGCGTGTGTGTGTGATCTCTGATATGCACTGCGGGGGTGGCCAGGGTCCGATGTCAGCAGCAGACACAATGGCTCCCTCCCTACCACCCTAATCGAGCCCACCTGCCAGGGCGTCACAGAAGGTCTGTCCTCCTCCCAAGAGACCCCGCCCAGCGAGGGAAGAGGAGGAGAGGCTCCCCTTCCCAGGGCAGGCCTCAATCCTCGGGAGCCTGTGAGCACATCCTCACTGTCCGCCTTGTAGCGAGGCGGGGGCTAGGCCCTTTCGTGGAGGTGGGGTGGGGGTGGGCGGCGGGCCAGAGGGCAACCCAGACAGGTGTTATGCCTCCCTCCTCCATCTGCATCCTCCCCGCCGCTACTTCTCCCCCAGGCTATAAACGGGAAAGTCTCTTCTGTCCGCAGGAGAAAGCTCCCAAAACATGCGCTCCTGGCCCAGCCTTCCCTTCGGACCACCCCCTTCTTCCTCCTTGCCGGCATTGGAAGAACCGCTGCCTATGCAGCGCATCCCCCTCCTGTGTCTCCCCTCCCGTCTGCCCTCCACCTTCACCAGCCAGTGGGCTGCTCTCCATGAGATCACCCAGGACCTAACTGATAAATCCAGGGGCCATCATCGGACTGCACCTTGAGGGCCTCACCGCATCCTGCCGACCAGGCTGTGCGTTCCCCGCCATCACCCCACCCTGTCCTTCTGAGTTCCTGGCATCGTTCTCAGCTCTCCTCCTGTGCCCCGCACAGCAGTGGGAGGTCTTTCTGAATAGCTCCCCCGCTACTTAAACCCGGGGCTGGGGGCAGCACCCCTGCCCTCAGGGTGAGTCCAGTGCCTCACAAGGCTTCCTTCTGAAGCCCTGCCCCCGTCAGGCCTCTGACCCCACAGCACCGGCTTCCAGGTGTGCTCAGAACCATAGGGAATTTTCTGTTCTAACAAGCACCAGGCCTGCTTGCTGCCAAGCGTTTGAACGTGCTGTTCCTTTGCCCAGAGCAGCCGCTGCTTCCTGCAGCCTTCTCCTCCCCTAGTTAATGCCCCTCCACCTTTTGTTGTCACTTGGGAAGAAAACAGACACCTTCAAGGAAAGGGCTTCCCTGGTAGCCGCCACCCCAAGACAGAGCTGGATGCCTGTTGCTTCCCTAGGGAGAGCACTTCTCCTGCAGGATGGCATTGCTCTCTCCCCTTCCATGGCACGTAGTATGTGCTCAGTAAATATGTGTTGGATGAGAAACTGAAGGTGTCCCCAGGCCTACACCATTGCCATGCCCGAACACTATCCATGCTATGGTGAGCACCATCTCTCTGATGACAGTTCTGTGTCCACAGCCCAGACCCCTCCACACAAACTCAGATGGGGTTGTGCTGCTGTTTTCCGGATGTATTCATTCAACAAGTATTTGTAGAGTACCTACTATGTGTCAGGTGATGTTCAAGATCAGCATCATCCAATAGAAATAGCGTGTGAGCCATGTATGTAGTTTCAACTTTTTCATTAGCCACATTAAAAACGTAAAAGGAAACAAGTGAAATTAATTTGAGTCATGTATTTTCTTTAACCTAGTATATCCAAAATATTTTAATCTTAATGCCTCATCAATATTAAAAAGTATTAAGGAGGTAGTTTACATTCTTTTTTTCATACTCAGTCTTCCAAATCTGCACCCACCTAGCCAATTCTTTCCTCTAGAGATTTAGCAATGAGCCGAGATAGTGCTCCTGCACTCCAGCCTGGGCTACAGCGGGAGACTCCGTCTCAAAATAAATTAAATTTTAAAAAGAGACTTAGCTGAGAGGGGCCACCTCTTCCTGGAAGGCGTCTGAGCCCTGCCCCAGGCCTGGTTCAGGGCCTTTGCCCTGCACTCCCATAGGCCTGTGAAGCCTGTTGCAGCCCTGCCCAGGGGACATCCGGTCACCTTCCTCTGGCTCAGTCTCCCTGCGGAGGATGGGCCCTGGCTCAGTGCAAAGCGCATCAGCCCTGGAGGACCATACTCCACAGCAGTGGATCTCAACTGGGGGTGATTTTGTCCCCTAAGGGGACATTTAGCAATGTCTGGAGACATATTTGGTTGTTACAGCTGGAGTGGGGGAGAAGCACCAGTAGGGTTTCATGGGCGGAAGGTTGGAGATGTTGCTTAGCATCCTGCAATGCACAGGACAGCCCCCACACTCTGGCTCAGATCTTCACATTGGTGCTGACGCTGAGCAACTCTGCTCGACAACAGTGAACTGTCGAGCACTGAGAACAACCCCAGGAGGGGTTCCCAACAGCAAAGGCGCTACCCCAACGGGCACTTTGTAAATGTGGGGGCCACTGCTTTGTTTTCACAATGATGGGGGACCCCATTGGCATTTAGTAGGCAAGGGCTATGGATGTCAAGATATCCTCTCAAAATAAAAACCTGCTAGGCACGACTTTTTTATTTTTATTTTTATTTTTTGAGACAGGTCTCTGTCTGTTGCCCAAACTAGACTGCAGTGGTGTTATCATGGCAGCCTCAACCTCCAGGGATCCAGCAACTCTCCCACTTGAGCCCGCCTAAGTAGCTGGGACCACAGATGCACGCTACCAGGGTAGGCTAATTTTTGTTTTTTTTTTTTTTTGTAGAGACAGGGTTTCATCATGTTGCCCAGGCTGGTCTTGAACTCCAGGACTCAAGTGATCCGCCAGCCTCTGCCTCCCAAAGTGCTGGGATTACAGGCGTGAGCCACTGCACCTGGCCTCAGACACAACTTTAGAATGTCCAACTGGACATTGGCGTAAGTGAAAAACCTGGGCCCAAATCTCGTTTTACATGTAAAACATTACATGTAATGTTTTGGGCTTTTTTTGGACTTTTTGTTTGTTTGGGCTTTTTTTGCATAGTTTTATTATAAATCAAACATGTTGATTTTTATCCCAACATCCACCCATGCTCTTTAATGTTCCTGGGCTTCTTGTACAGAATGGCTTCCAACTTTCTTCTTTTAAATTTAAATGTATTCATTCAAAAGAGGGGCAAGCATTAATGTATTGAAACACATAGCACTGCCCCTCAATTTATCCTTTATGATACGATTGTGACAACATATTGATTTGTGAAATCACTTGTACAGGTACAGTATGTTAAATATCATTTCAGACTCAAAGATGTTAGAAAATATTTACTGGAGGAAAAGCGCCTCGGTCCACACGGTTGCCTCCAGCCTGGTGCGGCCGTTGAGTCAAGCAAGGCGCTGCCGCCATCTAGTGGTTAACGTAGAAATGGCAGGCAACCCCTAGCAGAAGGAACCCTTTGTCTTACCCCACCCCCTCCAGACCCCCACACCACTTGGAGGCAGAGGGCTGGGCCCCTAAGCTTCCATCCTAATCCTGTGTTCTTGTTAGGTTTCTTTCTTTTCTTCTTTCTTTCTTTTCTTCTTTTTCTTCTTCCTTCCTTTCTTTCTTCTTCTTCCTTTTCTTTCTTCTTTCCTTTTTTCCCTCTTTTCTCTCTTCTCTTCTTCTTCTCTCTCTCTCTCTCCTCTTTCTTTCTCTTTTTTGAGATGGAATCCTGCTCTGTCGCCCAGGCTGGAGTGCAGTGGCGTGATCTCAGCTCACTGCAACCTCTGCCTCCCAGGTTCTGCCTCAGCCTCCCGAATAGCTGGGATTACAGGCGCCCACCACCACGCCCAGCTAATTTTTTTTGTATTTTTAGTAGAGACGGCGTTTCACCATGTTGGCCAGGCTGGTTTTGAACTCCTGACCTCAAGTGATCTGCCCACAGCCTCCCAAAGTGCTGGAATTACAGGCGTGAACTACTGTGTCTGGCCTCTTGTTAGGTTTATATGAGTCCCTGACCCCAGCTCCTGTGCCATCTGTCATTGCTGTTGTGATGGTCAAGGCTGGACCCAGCCTCTGGCTTTCTAAGGACCAGGAATGTCTAGGGGTGGGTCCGGCTTCCTCCCTCAGACTGGGGGTTCCCTGAAGGTGGGGGCAGCTTTCCTCCTCTCCCCTCCCACTCCCAGACTGGGGCTCCTTGACATGGGCAGTGGGGATCTCCAGACTGAGGGCTTCCCAAGGGGCAGGACCTTCTCCTTCTCAGCATCTCCAAAGACCCCAGCACAAGGTAAGCCTCAGAAGGCAGCTTGGAAGGGTGCCCTGGCCAGCCCCTTGGCCCCAGTGCTCATTCCTGACCATCACAGGCCCAGAGTACATGAGGAAACCCATTCCGAGCCCCCAGCCCAGACGCCAAGAGGAGGGGGTGGAGGTAGCAAAGCTGGAGGCATGTGTAGAATAAATAGAACTTTATTCTTTATCCAGTAGATCTCAGTGGAAAGCCCAACAGTAACAGGTGCACCCACGGGCTCCAGGGGAAGGGCCCCAACCCCTGGTGGAGGTCAGGGCAGAGCCGGCTCCCGCAGCCAGGGGTGCAGGGGTGAGGGGAAACCCCCTGTAGGCCCGTCCTGCGGGGTAAGGAGGGGGCACGGGGATGGGACAGGTGGGAGGTGGGGGGCAGGCCAGGAAAATGGAGGAACTCAGGCCAAGTGTGTGTCGGCCCATCTACTGTCCAGTGTGTGTGTGTGTGTGTGTGTGTGTGTCTGTGTGCGCGCACGCATGTGTGTGGGTGTGTCTCGGGGGCCCTGTGGGGGTGCTGGTGGCTGAGGCTGGGGGTGGGGGCAGCTCAAGCCCCTGGTCAGCCCCTTCACAGTGGGGGCTGGGGGGCCTGGATGATGTGGGCCCTGACGGGAGGCAGCTCTACCTAGGAGCTGGGTCTGTGAACACTCCGTGTGTCCCGGGGCCCCTGCTCGGCCCCTGCTCCATGGCTCATGGTGGGTGCAGGCAAGTGCCAAGGCCAGGAGCCTGTCCTTCCAGGGCTACCCCACACCGTCCACACCCAGTGGTCAGGCAGAAGGAGAAAGGGGCTGGCAGCTTCTCCAGCGCGAGGGAGGGGAAGGCAGGCCTTGGAAAGTTAGTACTTCACAGTTTTAAAGAGAAAACTGAGGAGGAAAAGGCTGAGGAGGAGAACTGGGGGGCACAGGGACACGAAAGGAGAGTGGGGGCCCCTTCTGAGCCACTCCCTCCCCCGGACCCACCCCCTCCAGCTCTGGATCCAGCTCCCCCCAATACACAGCACAAATTCCTTCAGTATAAATGTGCTTAAAATGAAAATTCTTATTAAAAAAAATCAAAACCAAAAAAATTAAAATAAAAACAAAACCAGCGAGAATTAATACCTGGGGTTGGTACGGCAGGGTATGTACAGGGGGAACCCCCCGCCCCTGTCCCACCCCCTCTGTCACCAACCAAGGCAGGGGGGAGGCTGAGGTTCCCCAGCTGGGGAGCAATGGCTTGTGAGTTCTGAGGATGGGGGAGCCAAGTCCTGGCGTTTGCTGGTGATGAAGATGTGGTGAGCTGGGCAGAGGGGTGTCCTGATGAACACGAGGCCCCCAGGGGACCCATCCTGAGACCCGGGACCAGGGCCTCACTCAGTTCCCGGCCTCGGCCTCTGACGTCAGCCCAGGCTGTGGGAGCAGGCAGTCCACTGAGGGCCCAGGCCTCTGTCCAAGGAGTTGCTGCCTCCTCCCTCCCCGTCCCCCAGGGAAGGTCCCCAGTACTGCCCGGGGGGACAGGTGGGGGCAGGGCTGGCAGGGGTCACATGGTTGGTAGAAAGGCAGAGAAAAGCCGGGGCGGAGGGCGAGGGCTGTGTCCATGTGGCGCGGGCGGTCACGGGGAGTGGGTGGCCGGGCTGCTTCTGTTGGAGCTGGGGCTGAGGCTGGGGCTACAGCTGCCTGGCGGGGGGGCCAGGCCACCCCCGTCCCGCCCCCCGCCCCCCGGCTGTCCGCTCAGAGTGTCCAGGCCCTCTGAGTTCTCCAGCATTTCCTGGATGAGAGGCGGCATGGAGCCCGGGATCTCCATCTTCAGCGTGATCACCCGCTCAGCCCCTGCGGGAAAGGAGGGGCAGAGGTCAGCACACCGGGCCAGCCCTCCCACCCCCGGCCCCAGCAAGCCTGGCTCCAGGTGGGAAGATCAATACTACTGATATTAGCTCTTTCTTGGGATTCAGTTCTTGGACACGAGCCAGCTCTCTTAGCCCCCAAGTCCAGAGGCTGGTGGCAATGGGGCAAAGTGGTCCTGAACTCTGGTTCCAGGGCCAGACTGCCAGCCTGGGCTGGACACCAAGTCCTGCCTTCCTCTATGCTGTGCGCTAGGGATTATCCTGACTCCTCTGTCAACACTATCGCTATCCCTGCCCCTCAGAAGGGAAACTGCAGCTCGGAGCTGTTCAGTGACCCGCACAAGGACACACACCCATGTGTCTGGTTCCAGAACCATGATCTGAACTACCACAAGGCGAGTGACACCGGCAGGCCACGAGGGGACAGTGGAGTCACTAGGGGACCTCGGCCTAGACACAGATGGGGACAGGTGTCGTATTCTCCTGGCACAAAGACACAGGGTGCTGGCTTGGATGTGGGGGCCTGGGCCAGGCGTTGAGGGCCGGCACCCCTCCAGGTCTGGGAGCCTCACCCTTGGCGCTGATGCTTCGCAGGTCAGTGATCTTCATCAGCATCTTGGGGAACATGTGGGGGCGGCTGGGCCTCCGCTTTCGCACGTAGACCTTTAGCGCCTCCAGCAGCGGCTCCTGCAGCATGTCCACACGGTCAGGCTGCTCCAGGTCCTGGCGGTCTGAGGAAGCAGAGCCACCCCCTGAGCAGCTGGGAACACAGCTGCACCCCCAGCCTCGGCCACCGGGGGGCGTGCCTGCCCAGGCCATGGAGGAGGACAGCTCGCAGGCGCCTCCCCACACAGGGCAGGGCACGGGGTCTCTGCTGCTGCAGGGGACAGAGGCCCTTAAAAGGGAGTAACGGGCTGAGGGTGGTGGGGTGCCCCAAACCCTCCCTATGAGCCCAGTTCATGGGATGGGACCCCAAATGGGCAGTGTCATCCCCAAGCAGGGAGAGGGTTCCCAGGCAGGCTCCCACTCCCACCTGTTATTCTGGAAACCAGATGAAATGGCAGAAATCACAATAAAATAGCAACTAACACGCACTGGAGCTCGCTCTGGCACCTGCACAGGGTGTTACCACCGTAATCCTCCCATCAACCTCATGAGCTAGAGACCGTTCCTGCCCCCACTGTACAGAAACGGAGGCCCAGAGAAGTTCAGCAACCCGCTCAGGTTCATGCATCAGCCAAGAAGTGACCCTGGGAGGTCCGACCCTCAAACCCTCACTCTTAACCTCCCTAGAAGGGGTGTTGCCCAGAAATCAGGAACAGGAGTCCAGGCCCCACACGGCCCCCTTGCTGTGTAGCTGTAGACCAGATCCTGCCCTCTAGAGAGGCCTGACAAGAGGCGGCCTGAAAGAGTTCCCTGGAAGACTCCGGGGCTACACTCCTGCCCCAGGCCCAGTCCCTAGACCCAGGCCCCTGCCCACCTCCGCAGATGAGGCAGATGGCGCTGAGCAGCCCCGTCTCCGCATCGTCCATCTCCAGGGGCAACAGCTGGTTGGCGAAGGCAAAGACCAGGTCGGTGAGGGGGCCGAAGCCAGCGTTGTGCATCTGGGTCCGGTTCAGGGTCAGCCCGTCTGAGAAGGTCATGGTGTCCTGCTCGGGTGTGTACCGCGTGCAGATTCGCAGGATCTGGGTGCAGAGGATGCACGGGTTCAGGGACTGAACCCCACCTACTCCGAGCACTCGGCACCAGCACTCCTGGAGGATCACCTGGCAGGCGGCCAGAGCAATGCTGTCTGATAGAATTTTCTACAATGATGGAAAGGTTCTATGTCTGCACCATCCAATACCTCAGCCACCAGCCACATGCGTCTATCGAGTACTTGAAATGTGGCTAATGCAACTGAGGAACTGAATTGAGTTTAATTTTAATTAATTTAAATTTAAATAGTCACATGTGGCAAGCAGCTACTGTACTGGACAGTACAGGTCCGGGTCATCCTGCCTCCATGCAGAGAATTTAGGAACACTGGGCTGCTGCCTACAGCTCCCAGGATGGGGCACACAACAGGTGCTCAGTAAACGTGTATTGGCTTGAACTATGTTGTAGGAACCCAGATCGTGCCTCCTGCATCCAGGGCATGGGGATGAGAGCCCCTGCAGGCAGCACAATCTAAACCTCCCACCCATCACCCGCCTCAACATAGAGGCATCCACAGGGAAATGACAGTCTGCCAGGCGCCATGGCTCACACCTGTAATCCCAACACTTTGGGAGGCCGAGATGGGTGGATCACCTGAGGTCAGGAGTTCGAGACCGGCCTGGCCAACATGGTGAAACCCCATCTCTACTAAAAATACAAAAATTAGCCGGGCATGGTGGCGGGCGCCTGTAATCCCAGCTACTCAGGAGGCTGAGGCAGGAGAATTGCTTAAGGCAGCGGTGGCAGGCTGCAGTGAGCCGAGATTGTACTACTGCACTCCAGCCTGGGTGACAAGAGTGAAACTCCATCTCAAAAAAGAAAAAAATAAAAGGAAATGATAGCCTCGTCAAATCCCAGGTTCCCCACCCTGGAGGTGACCAAAAGGGAACAGGTGGACTGAGCCCTTGTCAGGGAGAGCCGGAAGGAGAGCGCTCCCTCCAGCCTAGGCTTTGGTAGTTCCCACTGCCTCTTCCTGCCCCCACCCCCTGCATCCAGCCTCCAGCCCAGTCCACCCACGGGCTCACTGAGTGCCCGGCAGTCCCCTGAGCTCAGCACGGCCTCACAGCAGCAAGTCTTTCACTTCCTGCTCCTGAGTTAGGGTTACCCTCTCACCTCCCCCTCTACAAACTCCTAGATGTCACCTCCTCTGAAACATCATCCTTCAGGCCCAAGCAGTCATGAGCCCTCCCCCCATCTCCAGGTAGCATTGATCACAGTTTTGCAACCTCTGTTGACTTATTTCTTGCCTCACATGGAAGGTTTTCAAGAGTGGGGATGGTGGCGCGTTCACCGCTGGGTTCCTGACACCCAGTTCAAACACTGGCCAGAGGATCCTAGGTGAATCTTTCTAATTTTTTGCAGAAACAAGGTCTCACTATGTTGCCCAGGGTGGTCTTGAACTTCCAGCCTCAAGCGATCCTCCTGCCTCACTTGGTCTCCCAAAGTGCTGGGATTACAGGTATGAGCCACTGCGCCTGGCTCCTAGGTGAATCTTTATTACTGGCTAAATGGATGGATGGATGGATGGATGGATGGATGGGTGGATGGATGGATGGATGGGTGGATGGGTGGATGGATGGGTGGGTGGATGGATGGATAGATGGGTGGATGGATGGATATGTGTGTGGGTGAACAGGTGAGCTCCTGCACATCTGGCTGCTAGGTGGCTGAGTGGATGGGGAGATGAGTGGACAGGTGGACACATGGGGAGAGGAACGGCTGACATTTGGACGGTGGGCATTTGGACAGGTTGACTGCAGACAGACATTCAGGAGGGTGGCTGGCTGGCTGGAAGGCCATCTACCCAGGACACAGGGGCAGTGCCTGGGGGGCAGAGTGCAGACCCTCACCAGGATGTCCAGGCAGGCAGCCTTGAGGAGGGTGATCTGGTCGGCGATGGTGAGGGTGGTGAAGCCGGGCAGCTGCTTGGCGAACTCCACAGTCTTAATGATGCACTTGGTGGAGAGTTCACTGAACTTGTCCCAGAGGTCAATGTCCAGAGAGACACGTTGTTCTGAGCTGTTGTTCTGGGGGAGGAGGGAGAGTGAGGGCCTTCTTCTCTATGGCACCCCTTCTCGGCCTGGTTCCAGCCCCCACAGGCCTGCCCTCTACCCAGCCTTTACTTCCTGGGAGCTCCTTAGGAGGAGGCAGCAGCGGGAGGGAGAAGAGAGGGAAAGGGAAGGATGCAGAGATCCAGCCAGGGGGGAGGAGGAAATGCCTGGCACAAGAAGGGGTGCCTCAGAGGGGCCCGTCCTGGCCCTGCGGCCCAGGGCACATCCCTCCCTGCAGGCCAGGGGAAAGCCATACCGTAGTGTATTTGCCCAGCTGGCAGAGGGCAGGGAAGGTTTCCTGGTGCGCTTTTCGCACCTTCTCAATGAGCTCCCCCACCTCCGGCGTCAGCGTGTAGCTCTCGGAGCACTCGGGCTTGGGCACCTCCTTCTTCTTCTTGTTTCGGTCATTTCTCACAGCTGTGGAGGGCAGAGGGGGTTAGAGGGCAGCTGCAGGCTGCTCAGGGCCTCGTCCACCCCCAGCCTGACAGAGAGCTGCCAGCTGCTGAGGAGGTCACCCCGGCTTGTAAGCACGCGCACACAGCACGCATTCACAGGCAGGCAAGGCATCGCCACACACTCCAGCCCTCCATGCCCACCCAACCCACACAGCAAGTTCGGCCCCAGAAGCCCCATGAGCACAGCTGTGGCCCTGCACACACACCCCCGCAGCCAGCCGAGTGCTGTCCCCCACGCGTCTACTCCAGCTCACACTCCAGGCGCCGGTGTCTCCCTCCTCGGTGCTCCGCCGCCTCTTTCCCCAGGAAGGTCCTTCTCCCACCTCCACTCACCCAGCCCTCCCAGCTGCAGTCTCCCTGGGGGTCCCTTGGAACTGGCTCTGAGCAGCTCCTGGGGCAAGTGGGGAGTAGGGCTCCCCAGCCTGAGAGTGGGGGGCCCGGCAGGGAGAATCTCTTGGCCCATTAGCTGGGGAGCTGACAAATCACCAGGGGCGCTGAGCCGCACACACCACTCGGCTTTAAAGAAGCGATGGGGTCGTTACCAGCCGATTATCCCAGACACACAATCACTCACAGGGCTGGTGGTGGTGGCTGCTGACGAGGGAGGAAGGGAGGGTGGGGGAGGGGCTCAGGGAGGGGGTAGCGAGGAGGGGGTAGCTGGCATAATTTGGAGATCACTCATGTCGATTCTGCAAATTCAATAAAGTGCAGGGGAGAGAAGGGAGAGGGAGAGGGAGAGTGGGGGGATAATTTGGGAAGAGAAAATTGCAGCTGTGACAAGACGTTTATCATTCGGAAGCTTTAATTCTATTGAAATGGCAGCTGCTCAGCTCCAGGGCACAGAGCAGCCGGGAGAGGGGGAGTTGGTGGTGGGAGGGAGAAGGGGAGTTGGTGGGAGGGAGACGGGGTCCCCACCCTGGTCCTTCTGCCATGAAAAGAGCAGAAGGTGGCACAAACAGAGGGAGGAGGAGGTGACAGCCCTTAAGTGAAGGGTTCCAGGCTTGTGGGTCTCGAGTTGTCACCCACTCTTGCAGCAGGACCCACCACTTCCTGGGCTCAGGACAAGGCACCCCCAGCCTCCTGTGGCAGGACACTCCAGTCCCCTCCTTTCCTGTCTGGGGCTCTTCGTCCAACAGTCAGAACCATCTCACCCGTGCCCCCTCCCCACTACCCTCCCCACAAAGGGCTGGGGGTCCTGCAGCCCCTCCCCCATCCCATCCCCCAAGGCTCAGGCTCCATGGCAACGGCCACGCAGACAAGGAGGCGTCTGTCAGCGTCATTTATCTCTGACATCATCAATCACCGGTCACCAGGGCAACACCCATGATTCAACACAAGAGGGTCTCCCTGTCCAGCCTTTCCTTCCCTCCCTCCATCAGGCCTCAGCTGAGCCCAAAGTGGAAACCCCGTTTCCTCTGGGATCTGAGAAGTCCCAATTCTTTCTTCCAACTCTGGATCCCAGGCTTAACTAGACAATGGCTTCTGGATCCTTGTGCCAGCCCCTCCACCCCCCATACACACATAAGTCCAGCCAAGCACCCCTCAGAATTCAAGCCCCTCCCCTAAGACTCACAATCAGAAGGGACTAACTATGCCTCTGAGCCCCACCCCAAAGCCAAGCAAGGCCTGGAAGAAAGCCATCCTGGAGCAAGCACACATGCACACATGCGCAAAAGCACACACAGCCAGACGCGCAGAAACAGGAACGGTTACACACACACGGCCCTGCAGCACAGACCTGCCCATGCACACACAGCCAGACACGCAGAAACAGGAACGGTTACACACACACAGTCCTGGAGCACCGACCTGCCCATGCACACACAGCCAGACACACAGAAACAGGAACGGTTACACACACACAGTCCTGGAGCACCGACCTGCCCATGCACACACAGCCAGACGCGCAGAAACAGGAACGGTTACACACACACAGTCCTGGAGCACCGACCTGCCCATGCACACACAGCCAGCCAGACTCGCAAACAGGTCCTTGCAGCTACACACAAACCATCCTCAACCGTGAGCCCGCACACCACGGCATGCGTGTTCATGCAGGTGCACACACATCCACAGAGCCCTGCTCCCTTGGTCTTTAGGAGCACCTGAGGCCCCAGCTCAGGCGGGACTCGGCTCTTGCCCCATGGCACTCACACTCCTTGGACATGCCCACTTCGAAGCACTTCTGCAGTCGGCAGTACTGGCAGCGGTTCCGGGTCACCTTGTTGATGATGCAGTTCTTGTCCCGGTGACACGTGTACACCATGTTCTTCTGGATGCTGCGGCGGAAGAAGCCCTGGGTATGGAGGGGAGGGAGTCAGGTTGTCCACACCCACAGTGGCAGCAGTGCCTGGCTATAGTCTCAGTCTAGGGGAGGAGGGCCAGGCCAGCTGCTACCCCCAAGCCTTTGCCCATCGCAGGCCAGAAAAGCTGGGGAGAATGATTCACCTAAAAGGATCCTCCTCAGGAGAATCCCAGTACCCGCCTCAACGCCACAGGATGGGCAGGAGTCTTCCCCCAACCCACAGCACACATCTGACTCCTCCCTTCCAGGGAAAGGACCTCAGGGCTGCTGGTGAGTCAGAAAGAGGAAGACATGGGGCTAACTGGGAAATAGCCAGGAATCTGGAACCCACAGCCCTGAACTCAGAACACAGGAAGAGAAGACAAGCCCGAAGAGGCCAGGAGGCAGATACACGGGCTGGCCAGAGAAATGGAGGCGAACACACACATGCACTCAGGAGCAAGGCAGAAAGATGCGAGTTCACCGAGACAGGCGTGCGCCGGCCCATCACAGACAGACCCAGGCTAGCCAGGGGCTCCACATACAGGCTGACCAGAGAGACAGGCGGACAGATGAAGAAGAGACCAGGAACAACCAGACAGGACAGGCAGACACACAGCCTGAGGCCTTGTGCTTTGCCCTTGACCTCTGTCCCACACCTGGGGATAGCTACTCCAGGCTGAAGAGCAGCCCAGAGCTGCAAGGCCCAAAACCTGTGCAGATTCTGAGCCCCAATATCTGGAGGAAGAAACGCACACAGAGGCTCAGGCCCCAGGGAAAGGAGGAGAAGCTGGGCACAGGGCTGCTAAGGACAGGGTACACCTGCACCCTGGCACCTAACGTGAGGGTGGGGAAATTCAGCCAGACACCGGGGAGCCCACAGCCCGGGCACCTGAAGGGGAAGCCAAGGCACGGTGCCTGCTCCTAACTGCCTCCTGCCAGGCTGCCATGGTGAGGTTCAGGCAGGGCCGCCGAGGGAGGCCTCCTGGGTCCCCAGCCAAGAGCCAGTCGGCAGCCAGCTCACCATGGTAACCTGGGCAGCGGTGGCAGAGCAGGCATACGCCCTGCCAGCTGGAGGATGGAGAAAGGGAAAGGAGCTGAGGCAGGAGGGGACCTCTGGTTTGAGGGAGGCCTGCACATTTATGGGGCAGGACCTATGGTAGGTGTCCCTGCTTGTTGCCAACTTCCACAGAAAAACCAGCAGCAGCTTCAGGGACACCCCCACCCCAACTCTGCACCTCCCAGGACACGGAGTGGGGATATCCCACTGACCTCTGTCAAACTGTCCTTCCCAATGACCCCTTCAACTCTTGCAGCCCTCACGGCGCTGACCCCCATAGTGGTAGCCTGAGGACTTGTCCTGACAGACAAAGCAAGGCTTGTAGATGCGCGGGGCAGAGGCGGCGAGAGGGCCTGGGCACTATCTCTTCAGAACTGTAACTCCTGGAGTCTCAATGGCTAGAGAGAGAAGAGGGGAGAGGGGCAGTTAGAGACCTGGGCCGCCATCCTTAGTGCCAAGCTCCCTGCCTCACGGTCCCTCCTAGAGCCTCTCCCAGCCTCACCACTGCTGGCAGAGGTTCAAGTCACTTAAGAAAACTGGGACTCCCCAGCCAGACTCAAGGAAGAGGCTGCCAATGAAACCTCAGCGCCCCATCCTCCTCCGATTCCTGGACCCACACCTTCAAAACCACAAAGAGACAATGATAAACCATCAGATTTGTATGTGTGCCGTGACTGTGCTTGGGAAGTAGGGTAGAATCCCACCCAAACTCTAAAGCTCTTGCCTGGGCGCCTGGCCCGAATTCTCCCCCGAGTTAGGAAGGAGTTAAGGCTTGAAAGAGAGGAGAGGAGGAAGAGGACACAAGCCGAGGCAGAGAGGAAACTGGGAGTCAACAGGATATTCAAAGCTGGCCACTCCGCCCCTCTGCTTCCCCGCTCCCCCTCCACCCCATTCTGCCAGCAGCCACAGCCTCCTCCACCCAAACAATCCCAGGGCCAAGGACCCAAGGCAGAGTGCAAACAGAGTCACAAATGCTGGGCAGAGCAGGAGGTGTCTCCCTGAGATAGGCAGGGAGACACCCTGGGTCTGAGAGAGAGTCCCGGGGCCCCCAGAATCCCATCATTCGCTAGGTACCCCATCTGAGGAGAGGCAGCATGACAAAAGAGATATATATTGCATCAATGTCTGTCTGTCTGGCCTCAGTACATATCCGTTACTACCCCTCCCCTTCTGTTATTCAGCTCCAGAGGGCAGCCAGGAGAGGAGTGACCCGGACAGACAGCAGGGGCAGCCCTCACTGGCCAAATCTACAGTGCCTGGCTCCATGCCACCCATCACTGTAGGCAGAACAGGGCTGGTTAGGCAGGAAGCTATCACAATATTAAACCTGGGCAGCTAAAGGGTGTTGGGTGCAAGATAAGAACTATGACTGAGGCAATCCCAGATTCCCAAGGGGCCACCCAGCATCGTCCTGAGGCCTACCACGTTCAAGTCCACTTGTCCAGGGCCAAGGATGGATGAGGATGCCTCCCCAAGTAGACAGATCCCTGCCTCCTCCCATATTCCACAGTCCTACCGAGCCCTACCCCAAACTCCAGCACATGAGACTGGCTGGCATTTAAAGGTGCCCACAGCGCCTGGCCCAGGCACCTTACAGACATGAGTCACATGGCCCCAAATCACATGGCCCTAAAGTTGGGAGCTGGGAAAGGCAGCTAGAACACCAGGATGACTCTGTGCTACCCTCCGCCCTTACCTGCTGGGCCACAGGGCGCTACCAGACGGCTGATGACAGGGAACTAGGCCAACAACCTCAGCAGGGCTTTCCTGGCTCTTAGTAGTACACCGGCTCACTTCCCTAGCCAGCCTGGCTGACCAGCACTGCTATAGCCCCTCATCCCCCTTCCTGCCCCGAGACCAGCCTGCAGCAATGGGACGCAGTTGATGCCCACCGCCCCAGCTCATGAATTCTCTGCAGCCTCCCCGTCTCCCCCGCCCGCCCCCACCCCCCATCCCCGTCTGCTCCTCACCCCAACACCAACTGCCCTGGCCTGGTTTTCTCCCACCTCATTCTCCCCAGGCCAGACAAGCAAATCAGACAGGCTGAGAGGCCTGAGAACAGCTGCTGGGGGGGGGCAGGGTTGGGGGCGGGTTGGGGGGCCTGGGTGAGGCCAGGAGGCAGAAGGGGTGAGCCACAAAGGAGCCCTTTGTTGTGCTAACTTTTTCCAAGACGTAAAAGCAGTAACAATAGACAATCCAGACTGGCGGGGGGAGGGGGATCAAGGGCAAGGGGGTATGTGGAGGGCTGGGGGGACCATGGTCTAGAATCTCGGTGAACACTCCGACCAGCAGAGGAAGAAGGCACTGACTTCCCCACCCCTCCTAATCCACCGTTCGCCCTGGGCTCCGCCTCTCCCAAGGCCCCACTTCTAAAATGAAACAGACGAGAGGGAGAAAGGACTGAGGGAGGTTTGGGGCACAGAGTGGGGTGTCAGGAGGGGAGCTAGGGTATGGGGAGTCATGGGGGATACCAGAATGAGGGGTAAACAGCTCCAAGGCCTGCGACAGACCAGAGGGTAAAGACCCATAAAAACGTGGAGCTGAAGCAAAGTCCAACAGAGGGTGTTACGGAACTGAAAGAATGTGCTTTTTAAAATCATTTTTTGGCAGAATGGGAGAGATGACCAGAGGCGAGGACTACAGTTTAGGCTAGGCAAGGCCTCCTTTTAGCCTACCCAATGGCAGCTTGGCTGCCTTGGAGGCTGTAACATAGCCTGCCCCCTACCTCCAGCACATCCCCACCTGTCACCCAGGTAACCCAGCTCTGAGGTTTCCCTGCTCTGCCCTTTGAGCTCAGAGCTCGAGGCCCCACCTCCCCAGGCCTCCAGCCAGCAACCCAAGGAGGTGAGTTACAAGGACCAAGGCGGAGGTGTGGGGGACTCCGGAATCCTCACAACCTCTGCAAGAGTTAGGACACAGCCATAACTCCCTGCACACACAGGTGGGGCCGGGAGGGACACCAACGCGGGAGGGATTGCCCGGGCCTGGCCCCTCCCTGCTGACCTCCCTCCCCAGAGGCCCAGCCCACCAATCTCTCCTCTTCCTACAGAAGGACTCAGGCTAGAGAACCACACCTTCTCAGCTCAAAGTTCCAGCGCCCCACAGAGGACTGGAACTGACCCAGGAAGCCAGGCGTCCCCTCCCGCCGACGCTGCCAGGGTGCCCCTCCCTCGCTCCCCATTCTGGTAGGGCGGGCGGCGCAGAGCGCTCCACTCCGGATTCCCCACGCCCCCGAGCCGTTCGCAGGCCCGCACAAGGGGCCGGTTTCCTGGAGGAGATCAGCAGGAAATCAGCCGGGCCCCCGGCCAGCGGCTCCCCTCCCAATCCAGCTGGCGCCCGCTCCTCCGCAGCTCCCCTCGCAACCCCTGGGGACGGTTGGGGAGGGGGCGTAGGGCCCTCTGTACCGCCCTTCCTCCTCCCGGGGAGAGGCGGGGGTAGCTCTGGTTGTACCGCAGCAGCGGAAGAAGGCCCCTAGCCCAGCGGCCGCCTGATAAGCATCTCCCCCTCCCCCAACTACGGGCATCCACGTGCTTCACATTCTTGGACGTCTGGGAGCGGGCGGAGGTGTGAGTGGCGGAGATTGGTGGGAGACAGATGGGGAGCCACATCCTGTACACCCCCCTTGTCCTCTAATGCACCGAAATGGGGGCTCTGGGGAGGGAGGCAAGGTCCCTAGGGCCCTGCAGAAACCAGGAGGCCACCTCCTCCCACAGCCAACCTGCTCTTCCTACCTTCAGTGGCAGTGAAGGGGGAGTGGAGCATTCCCCAAGAGGGGGCTGGAGGCGGCTACAGTCACCAGAGGGCTTCCACACACCCAAGGGGTCCCTTCCAAGGTGGGGGCGTTGGCCCCACATATTCTAGATGGAGTCTAGTTGCCACCCTCAGACTCCAGGTCCTTCCTGTGCTTCAAGGCAAGCCCCCAGACCCCCATCACTGCCAGCCCCACAGCCTCAGGACGAAAGTTCACTGAGACCTCACTGACTTACATGCACACCCACGCTCAGACTATGGGAACTGGGAGCCCAGGTCTCTAGGTCTACTACCCCACCCCAGCACGGGTGTGGGGACAGGTCTCCACTTCCCCATGTCCAGTGGTTTAGGGGAAGCAAGGCTCACCAGTACACTGCCTGTCCTACTCTCTGTGATCCTCCTCCCCCTCCAGTTCTGGGCCAGGAAGAGCTGAGCTGTTCCCATGGGCTATGAAGAGACAAGGGCTGGAGCCCAAGGTCTCAGATCCCAGCTTCTCTCCAGCCCTCTGGAGAAGGTGGCCAAGGCAGTGGAAGGGGTGACTCTGGCAGCCCTGCCCCAACTATCCCCCTAGGCGAGGGGGGTCTTGCTCCAGCACTGGGAGAATGAGAAAAAGGGTCCTAGAGTCATCCTCTCACTCTCTCTTCCTCCAAAGTCAACGGTCGGTCGGTCGATACCCTCCCTCCTGTGTCTACAGCCACACAGCAGATTCAGCCCTGGAGGCAAAGGTCGGGGGCAGGACAATAGGAAAAGCTGAGATAGAGGTGGCTCTGGGAGGGCAGAGGTGGGCTGTCTGTCCATCTCAGGTCTCTCTTCTCCCAGCAAGAGGGGCTTCAGATGGTGTAAGTCCTTTGCCCTTCAACCTTCTCCAATCTGCCAGGCCCCCTCGAGACCCACTCCACCCCTCCTCCCTGGCAGGCAGGAGGGAGGCAGCAGGTCTGGGAAAGTGGGAGATCCTCCAGGGAAGAGCTTCCCCTCCAGTGAAGAGCCCAAAGCCCAGTAGGGGAAGAAAACTGAGCCATCTAACAATAACCCACCTTGTGCCTGCTCCCGCCCACCCAGTGTACACTGCCTCACAGCTGTGCAGGAAAATGCCCAGGTGTACACCCTGGTGCGCCGAGCTCCTGAGTGTGCACAGAGCCCTTCCTCCCAGAGGAGCTTGCACCCAGGCATGGGGCAACAAGAAGAGCAGGTGACCAGGCTGCCAGGATGCTAGGATTCTCATCAATGCCCCTCTTAGGAAGGGGCAGCCCAGGACCTGGCCCTATCCCCAAGTGAAGTCAGGGTAACAAAAGGACTTGGTGGCGGAGCTGGGAAGGGATGCAGTCCTCATTTCCAGAGCAGCCCCAGACCCACAAAAACAAACTCATCCCCCAGAGAACAAACCGGATTAGGATTAGGGGGAGAAGGATTCTTCTCACCAGAGCAGCTTCTCCCCTCCACTCCTGGGGATGAAAGCCTCAAAGATGACAGCCAAGTGTCTGGGGCCAGGACAACACTCCCACAAGGACCCAGTGCCCCTTGCCAAGATGGAAGGTTTGGGTGGCAGACGGGTGTCTGATGAAGTTGCCCCTTTCTGCCACACCCCACTGTCAATACCAAAGATATCGAGGGCTCCCCTGACACCCACTCTAATGACGCAAGAGCAAGGGCTGGGGGCAGCAGCTGTCGCTCAGGAAGGGGCTCTCCCTCGGGCTTTGGCAAGTGTGGGATCTGGGGAGGCGGCCCCTCCCCCGGGAGCAGACAAACCGACACAGACAGGACCTTTACCCCACCCTCCAGCCTGCTGTGAAGCTACTGGATTCCAGGCAAGAAGATATAAACTGGGGGCAAGGGGCTTGGGCTTCATTTCTCTCGGAAGAAGTGAAACAAGAGATGAAGGAATGTTTCTTGAAAGAAGGAACCCTCAAAGTTTCTCAGCCCTAATCTAACAGAAATTGCACTCAGGGTTACTGGGGAGGGGAGTGCTGGGGGGAGGGTTCAGTTGTCCAGCAAGGGCAACATCGATTAAGTGAAAGGTAGAGACAAGACCTCCACTGCACCCCGGGACTCTCACGCCCGAGTAGTAGTGGAAGCCCTACCGCCCACTCCCACCCCCTACAACAGCAGAGGGAGAGGCCGGTACGTACAGTGGTTTGAGCCATTCCAAAGCGGAGTCCGGAGCGGGGTGGAGTACGGACCCGGGGCGGGGAGCCCCTTCTCTGGGAGCAAACAGGCCCGGTTCTGGTTATAAAAATCCACCACTAGGAAGGGGTTAGGGGTGGGACCCCCCACTTCTACACTTTCGTACATCTTCCCCCTCGAAGGCAAGAGGTCCGAGCTGGGAAGTCCTGCGCGCCGCCCCCGTCACTCAGCCGGCGGCGCCATCCGAGCAGAGCAGCTGGGGGCGAGGAGACGTCCCCTCACCCCGACTGGTGACCCAGGCAGGGGGGCGCCCCCTGCCCTTAAGTCCCCGCGTCTAAGTCCGCCGGCCGCTCCGCCAGTCCCGGTGAAAAGCTGGGAAGTTGTGTGTGCTGGGAGCGGGGGGTCCCTTGGCTCTCCCAGAGAAGCCTAGCGGGGCCCGGGAACTCAGCGGCTTCACCTCGAGGGGACTCCTGTCTAGAGTCTCGTGGCGTCCGAGGCAGAGTACCGCGGCTCCCCAAGTCCGCAGGCCGGGGGCGGGATCAGCGCGGGGCGGGGGTCAACGAGCACTTCCTCCTCCCCGCCGGGGATCCGGGGCTTCTCCAGGGATCTCGTGGCGAGGATTCCAGGTGGGGGTGGGGATCCCGCGCGGTTCCACCTCCGCCAAGCCAGGGGCAGCCGGCGGCTCGCTCGGTCTCCGGTGGTGCGCGCCACGGCCCCCCCACCCCAGCTCTACGCGCCCCCTCCCCTCCGGGTACCACCCCCTTTCCTCCACTCCGCCCCGTCCAGGCACCGCCCCTGGCTTAACCCATTCCCAGCGGGTCCGGCTGCAGTGGGAGAAACGCAGGGAACCTAGAGGGAGAGGCGGCATGTGGACGGGCGAGTAGGGGCAGCCTGGGAAGGGGGAGGAGAGGAGAGGAGAAGGAAGGAGGAAAGGTACCAGAGGAGGAGTACACAGAGTACAGAGGGAGGCCGAGTACAGGGAGAGGAGGGGGCTGCGGGGGGGTACAAGGACGGAAGAGAGACGGGCGTCTTCCCTTGTCCCAGTTCCGGCTCCCAGGCTCCCCCAAGGTTTGGTCAGTCCCTGGCCGAGCGATGCCGTGGTGGAGGAGGTGGTGGGGCGGGGAAGAGGGGGGTGGTCCCGGTGTCCTCCCCTTAACACACACCCCCACCCAAGCCGGGCCTCATTTGCCTAATGCAATGCGGCTGAACTCTCGCTGAACTCGCCTGGCGGCGCCTCACCTCCGAGTGACCCACCCACCGCTGCCCATGACATCACCCGCTCGCCAGCCCGCCCGCGGGGCTCGCCCGCTAGCCCCCTGCCCGGCCGGACTGGGCCACCTCCCCCGGAGACGCGGAGAGCGGCGGCGGGAGGCGTAGGGCCGGGGCGCGCGGGGCCAAGTGTTTGGCACCCGGGTGTGACATTGTGCAGCTCGGACGCTGTGTCGGAATGAGACACCGGCTTGTGTCATTGTCTGTGACATCATGTGTGACTACCCGGAACCCGACGCGGCAGCGCGGGTGCTGTTGGCACAAACACAAGCAGAGAGGGCTGTCCTCCCCACGCTCTGCGTGCTTCCGGCGAGCAAAGCCCCGCCCAGGGTGTCTCCCAGCTGGGGAACCAGTATCGGCCCCTGGTGCACTGTCCAGCTCTGGAGAGAGAAAAGGAGGAGCTGTTGCCTTCCAGTTGACTGCTTCATCCTGGAAACCCTTGGGATGCACGTTCCACTGGAAGAAAGACCTAGCTTGGGCAGGTCCCTAGAAAGAGGGGATACCCCTGGAGGAGCGGGTATCCTATTACCCCCACTCTCTAAAAGGAAGGGTGGAAATGTACATGCTACCCAAGGATATTCTTCTAGAAGAAGCCTGGCTTTTTATATATGTTGTCATTTTATCCTCACAGCAACTCCAAGAGATAAGTTTTACAAATAAAACAGGTCTTAGCAAGGCTATGTGGGTTGTCCAAGATCACATTACTACTAATAAAGAGTAGAGCAGGTATTTGAACTTCCTGCTGCCAAAGCCCATGTTCTTACCAAGCTAGGCTGATTCAAGGTATTTTTCTGAGCACTTTCCATGTGGACACCCTGGAGAACGTGCCCTTGTAGACCTTAGGGAGCAACAGCCATTAGGCAAATAATCACTATATACACACACAATTGCAAACTGAGATAAATGGTATTATGCTCTGGAGAATTAACATAGGTACCTAATTTAGGTTGAACTAAATTAGGGAAGAACTCAAATAAAACAGACCTACCGTAAGAGAAAGTTTATAAGTTAATCAGGCAAAGAGTAGAAAGGAGTGTAGTTCCAGTTAAAGGGTGAGTCTGTGCAAAGGCCCTGGGGTTACAGAAGTTGGTGAGTTAATTGAAGGAACTGGCAGAAGGCTAGGATGATGGAGCATAAAATTCAAAAGGAAAAGGTACATAAGATCAGGCTGCAGAGGTGGGCTCAGGCCAGACCAGGGGGGGCCTATAGGCCTCAATAAGGCTTTTGGATTTTATCCTAAATGCAAGGAAAAGCCATAGAAAGGTTCCAAGCAAAGGAAAGGTAAGATCAGATTTACAGTGTAAAAAGATCTTTCCAGCAGTTGTGTGAAGAATGGATTATAGGAGGGCAAGAGAGACCAGGTAAAAGCTACTGCAGCAGTCCAGGCAGCAGACAAGGGCAACTTGGCCTAGGAAACTAGAAGTGCTGATGGACAGAGGAAGGTGGATTCAACAGATATTTTAAAGGTGGTACAATCAACATGTGGGGGTGGGGTAGGGGGGTATGGGAAAAGAGGTAGCAAAGAGACTTGTGTGTGGCTTATGCATCAATGAAGTTCCTGAGACTGCAAAGCAGAGAAGTGCACTGGGCTGCGGGACAGGTGGGTGTGGGGCCCTGAAGTGCAGTCAGGGCTGCAGATGGAATGCTGGGGTCTGGGGGCAGGTATGCAAATCTTGACAGTGGATGAGACCAATGGGGAAGAGGACGGAGTGCTTCCATGCCCTCGGGATCTTTCAAATGATGGAGCAAGGCCCTGTGCTCACAGCTGCAAGGTGCTAAGGGACCTAAGACTCTGTCCCTGCCATCAAAGACCTTGTGGTCAGGAAAAGATGTCCCAAATGGTTACAGCTCATGGCAGGAATGGGAGAAGCAACTTTATGGTAGAGAGATGAGTGTTGTTAAAAAATAAATAAGGACGCAGAGGCATTCTAAGTAGGGAGGCAGAGTGTGGCAAGGAAGGGGGAACATCTGTGAAGAGTTCTGGGAAGAGGCGGTATTCAAGATGTTCCTTGAAGGATAGATAGGATTTCCGGAGCTGGAGAGGAGAAGTTAGGGCAAGAGGCCCGTTCTGGGCAACAGCAAGGTCATGGGGCAGGTCAGAGCAGAACACAGTGTCCTGGGGCAGTGGGAGAAGTGGGAAACAAGGAAGGCTCTGGCCTGCAGCTGGGGTTGGGGGCCTCCGGTGGCAGCTGTCTGCAGGCCTGGGGCCCCACCCTGCTCAGCCTTATCCCTCCCTCAGCTCCTTCTCAGGGCTTTGCATTTAGTAAGCCCTCAGCAGGTGTGGGCTGAACTGGCCCCCACTTGTGCCAGGCAGGGCCCCTCCTTTCCCCAACCCCATCTGGAGGGGACAATAAACAGGAAATCATGAGGCCCAGTGCCAGGTGGACACTGGGTCCCAGTACAGAGTGGTGCCATCCCCCAAGACAGTGCCCAGCTCTACCCTGCCCCTCAGTATCACAGCCTTGCTGGGTACGTGAAACTCACCAAGGGCCTCAGCAGGAAGTGGGCAACCATGGCCTAACAGCAACTCGCCCAGTCAGGGAGAGATTAGAAGTTTTGCTTTTTTAAAAAAAATTTTTATTTATTTATTTGAGACAGAGTCTCGTTCTGTCACCCAGGCTAGAGTGCAGTGGTGTGATCTTGGCCCACTGCAACCTCCATCTCCCGGATTCAAGCAATTCTCATGCCTCAGCCTCCCAAGTAGCTGGGATTACAGGCGCACACCAGCATGCCCAGCTCATTTTTGTATATTCTGTAGAGATGGGGTTTTGCTGTTGCCCAAGGGTGGTCTCGAACTCCTATGCTCAAGCAATCCTCCCACCTTGGCTTCCTAAAGTGCTGGGATTACAGGTGTGAGTCACTGTGTCCAGCCAGAAGTTGCTTTAAGGAGGAGGAAACATTTGGAGAGAGCTTGGGTGACCTGCCCAAGGCCACACAGGAAGAACTGTGCTTTAAGACTCCTGCCCATGGAGGGCCCTTGGTCTGTGTGCTGGTTGAGGTTTCCAGCAACCCAGAAGTCAAAATGGGGAGGGGAGCACCTCTATTTCTGACAGCCAAAGGTTGAGTGGCCTCCAATCTACCCTGGGAGGCCCAATCCTTGGCTGTGCCCCAACTCCACAGAGGAGGAGGAGGAAGAAGGCACTGCCCCAAAATGACTTAGAGATGGGAACCACTTCCTCTTCCCACAGACACTACTCCCTCAAAGGGCAGTCGGGCCTGCACTGGTACAGCCCCATAGGTGACAAATCCCTTGGCATGGGGTAGACACAATACCTCGGCCCTGACCCACCTAAAAGGAAGATGGGCTTCCTTCCCTGAGTCCCCTCCCCCGGGCCATGCTGGGATCTTGTCCAGAGGGAATCTGTGCATTATCCTTGCTGGGAGATAAAAGGTGAGGAACCCCATTTTCATTAAAAACTCCATGTCATGGTCTTTTGGCTGACTCTACATTTCAGACTCCAAAAAAGGCATTGCTAGGCAGCACTCCCTCTGCCTGGGCTGTCCCTCCACCTGGGCTGTCCCTCCTATTGTCCAGGGAAAGAGTGGGAAGCTGGGAAGATGCACAGACTGCAACAGGGAGGAAGTGGCAGAGCATAGGAAGAAGGGAAGGACACAACCTCCTCCTTTCTGGGCTCACCCAGACCCTTGGGCGTTCTCCAGTCTCTAGGCATATGAAGCAAATATGCAGCCACCCTCTTGGGGCTCCCATCCTCAGCTCCTCTGTTGATGGCTTGCAACTTCTTTGCTTCCATTCACAAATTGAAACAAATTAAGAATAAGAACTGTGGCTTTTACACTTTGTTCCTTCAGTGTCTGTCTGGAGATCGGGGGGAGGGTGCCCGCTGAGTTCTGCACTCTCGTGGGCTACAGCGGGCAGATTTGGGGGTGGGGATGGTATGAACAGATTGTATCCACAGCTTCCAGGACAGGACCGAGATCTGGCCTAGGCCCCTTATCTTTCTTTCTCTCCAACCTTCAGGATCCAAAACAGAGAGGAGGGGGTATGGCTTGTGCCTTCCGACGCCCCCTACCGGGGAAAGGTAGGTTCTAAGGCAGAGAAAGGGCCTCCGCAGTGGGGAAGGGGGTTTCAGTCAGCACTAAACCCCACCCCCCACACTTCCCATACCCAAGAGTGTGCCCCACAATCCCCTCTCAAAGCCGCCTATCTGGATGGTGGAAAACAGCCCGGCTTTACAATCCTACAGTCATGATTCTGCAGCACTTTAACCTCCCCCAGCACTGTGTCCTCTGTGTAAGTGGGGATAATGTCCCTCTTCCAGGATTGCAGGGATTACAATTTGTAAAACACAGACAAAGCCTCTGACACACAGTAGGTGCTCTATAGATGTTAACATCCCATTCTCTCCAGCTCCCACCTACAAAGGGCCAGGTCCCTGCTGGGTGCAGTGGCTGACACCTGTAATCCCAGCACTTTGGGAGGCCAAGAAGGGTGGATCACAAGGTCAAGAAGATCAAGACCGTCCTGGCCAACCAACATGGTGAAACTCCGTCTCTACTAAAAATACAAAAATTAGCTGGGTGTGGTGGTGTGTGCCTGTAATCCCAGCTACTTGGGAGGCTGAGGCAGGAGAATTGCTTGAACCCAGGAGGCGGAGGTTGCAGTGAGCCGAGATCGCGCCACTGCACTCCAGCCCGGGTGACAGAGTGAGACTCCATCTCAAAAACAAAACAAAACAACAACAACAACAAGCCAGGTGCAGTGGCTCACGCCTGTAATCCCAGCACTTTGGGAGGCCGAGGCGGGCGGATTGCAAGGTCAGGAGATCGAGACCATCCTGGCTAACATGGTGAAACCCCATCTCTACTAAAAATACAAAAAAATAGCAGGGCATGGTGGCAGGCTCCTGTAGTCCCAGCTACTTGGGAGGCTGAGGCAGGAGAATGGCTTGAACCCGGAAGGTGGAGCTTGCAGTGAGCCAAAATCACACCACTGCACTCCAGCCTGGGCGACAAAGCGAGACTCCGTCACGCTCTTCAAAAAAAAAAAAAAAAATTAAAGAAACAACAATAGGCTGGGCACAGTGGCTCATGCCTGTAATCCCAGCACTTTGGGAGGCCGAGGCAGGCGAATCACCTGAGGTCAGGAGTTCAAGACCAGCCTCAACATACAGAAACCCCATCTCTACTAAAAATATAAAAATTAGCCGGGTGTGGTGATGCATGCCTGTAATCCCAGCTACTCAGGAGACTGAGGCAAGAGAATCACTTCAACCTGGGAGGCGGAGGTTCAGTGAGCTGAGAGATTGTGCCACTGTACTCCAGCCTGGATGACAGAGCAGGACTCTGTCTCAAAACAAACAAACAAAAAAAAAAGAAACATGTTCAGAGAGGTTATCAGCAAGTCATAAGTGACACAAATGTCCAAGTTGTTGTTTTTGAGACAGGGTCTTGCTCTGTCACCCACCAAGCTGGAGTGTAGTGGCGTGATCACAGCTTACCGAAGCCTCAACCTCTCAGGCTCACGCGATCCTCCCACCTCAGCCTCCCGAGTAGCTGAGACTACAGGCGCACTACCACACCTAGCTAATTTCTTCTCTTTGGTAGAGACAGGGTCTCACTATGTTGCCCAGGCTGGTCTCAAACTCCTGGGCTCAAGGCCCTACCTCGGCCTCCAGAAGTGCTGGGATTTCAGGCATGCGCCACTTCACACAGCCAGTGTCTAAGTTTTATTATCTTTTTTTTGGGGGGACAGAGTCTCATTCTATCCCCTAGGCTCCTCCACCTCCTGGGTTCAAGCGATTCTCTTGCCTCAGACTCCCAAGTAGCTGGGATTACAGACACATGCCACCTCGCCCAGCTAATTTTTGTATTTTTAGTAGAGATGGGGTTTCACCATGTTGGCCAGGCTGGTCTCAAACTCCTGACCTCAGGTCATCTGTCTGCCTTGGCCTCCCAAAGTGCTGGGATTACAGGCATGAGCCACCGTGCCCAGCCCAGTGTCCAAGTTTTAAACGCAGCACTAAATGCCTTCTCCACAGCCCCCAGTCAGACCCCTTTGCCCATGGAATTCCCAGAGTGAACAAAAAAGGCAGATCAGTTCTCCCCTCCAAACCAGAAGAAAGGTAAGAACCCAAACCAAGACCACTACTCTTTAAACACTCTATGCCCTAAGTCACACCCCCTCCCAGCCCCAACACACAGACAAGCTGACTCTCCCTCCTCAGCTCTGGATTTAATTCCCCCAAAACACACTCAGCTCTCTAACCCTCTCACCCAATACACACAAGTCATTAATCCCCTTCCCAAC